TCAGAGACAGTGCGATTGGCACAGGATAGAGCAAGGTTTAGGGCTGTTGTACATAGGGTCACTAAGAGTCGCAAGTGACTCAACGGCACACAACAACAACAACAAATTAGAACACTGTTTAGTAAAATTTCTTCTTAAACATAACCACTCCCTCTTCTTGGCTTTCGCCCTGTCAGAACTATGTGGATTCTGTAACATCTTTAGTCTTGGTAGTTCAATTTTATTAATAACTTTGTTATGTGCTGTGAACAGTTGAAAATTTGAATGTATAGAGTGTGTGATAGTAAATTGTGAATTGTTGTTGTTGTTGTTGAGCATCACTCATAGCGACTCTATGAACAAAAGACCTGAAGCCTTTCTATAACTAACGTCATTTATCAAAGTCCATAAAGTTTCCAGAGGCATATTGTTTAGGAAGTGGATGCCACTCCTGCTTCCAAACCTGTCTTAAACTGAGAGTACCACCAAACACTGTCCACCATAGCTATCTTTTATGGCATTTGACACCCCAATGGCACGAGATTCAGCATCACAGAAACTCCAGGTTTCCTCAGTACAGCATATTGACAGAAGAATGCTGCACCACTTAGAAGAATGTTCCTCCAAAATGTAATAACAACCGATTTTTAAGTACAAAGGCCCTTCCCAAAGTCATGTTGATTCTAAAGAAGAGGCTTAAATAAAAAACAAACAATATAGTATGTTTTTGTTGTTATGTGTCGTTGACTCGCCTGCGACATATAGACACCCTATGTAAAGCAATAATGATGTGATAGTTTATCAACAATTGAAGATATTGGTACTTATTTTCTTCTTTATGAAAATTTTCCTCCAAACTTAAAGCTGGAAAGTCACTGTAATTTAGAAAAAAATTATAACGACAGGAGTTTTAGATTTTTAGTATGTACGTTAAGAATTGTGTACAAGTTGTTCTTAATGTCTATGTACTGGCTCTTAAAACAATAAATAAAATACCAATCATGAAAGAAAGGGGGGGGGAGAGAAGATGGAAGAAGTACAGAGTCACTGTATCAAAAAGAATTGGCTGACACAGAAG